CTTGTGGGCTTTGTGCACAGTCTTGTTGTAGTTAAGCCTTGATTGTTGTAGTTATCATTGGGAGGAATTGACCTCCAGGCCAATTGGCTGAGAGAATCAGCTGTGTCTGCAGTGGGAGAACTTCTGTCTGGAGACACCCCTCTGGGGCTAGACATGCTTCGATGGGGCTTTGGTGCTCACTGAGTCTGCCCCCTGAGTGTGTCTTTTATGGTTCCAGGGAGCTGCAAACTGGATGGGCCCACTCTGACCTCTGGGCTTCCTGGTTCCTGGATCTCTAGGAAGGTGCTAATCTAGCCTTTGCCTGAGGCTATCCAGCAAAAGTCTCCTTGCAGGGCTTGGGTGGGGCGGGTCCAACAGGTTCAACAGGGCGGGGCTAGCAGTTATGGCTGCTCTCAGTCTTGCCCTCAGAGGCTCTGCTTCTTAGTGTCCCAGTAATCGCTGCAAGCCCCTCGGAGAGAAAGCTGCCCTAGGGTTCTGAGCAATGCCAGACAGTCCCGCTTCTCCCAAATGAGTCTGGGTCCCTAGAGACTAGCCCGGAACTGGAGCTCAGAGCCTGAGACTCCCTCCTGATTGAAAACGACAACCACGCCCTCAGCCGCCAGCCCCCTCTGCATGCACTCCACACCTTAGTATTTTACTTCAGCACTGCGCCTCCTCTGAGTCTCGGTATGTTTTTCTCTTTCCTCCTAGTTGTAGAACTTCCATTCAGCCAGCCTTCCTGTGGTTCTGGATGATGTCCGTTCCATCTTTTAGTTGTATTTTTGAAGTGGTTGTTCGAGGCAGCATACTCCGGTGTTTACCTATGCTGTCATCTTGGTTTCCACACCAAGGTACACATTTTCATGGAGGATGTTCCCACTCTTGAATAAATTAAAACAATTTTTTTTCTTTTAATTTAAACTTTCTTCTATAACTGTTTTTTTGTTACTTAAAAGCCAGTTTTTTTGAAACTACTTCCAAAGCTTTTTAAGCTGTATATGTCCTTGGAATGAATTTATAAATTAGAATTGAGCCCTGCCAGTGTGACTCAGTGGTTTAGCATCGACCTATAAACCGGAAAGTCACAGTTTGATTCCAGATCAGGCCACATGCCCGGGTTGTGGGCTTGATCCCCAGTACAGGGCGTGTAGGAGGCAGCCAATCAATGATTCTCTCTCATCATTGATGTTTCTATCTCTCTCCCTCTCCCTTCCTCTCTGAATTGGTAAGAATATATTTTAGAGAGAGAGAGAGAGAGAGAGAGAAAGAGAGAGAGAGAGAGAGAGAAAGAGAGAGAGAAGAGTATATATGATTGTAAATAAGAAAACATGTATTTGATGCTCTTAGAAAGTCTTATTTTCTTTCATTAAAACTTGTGCAGTATAGGGAACTCCATAGATTCTCTTAATTTGAAGAAAGTTCGAGGGAAAGGTACCAATTCAGAGTTCCTTGGGAAAATGGGTCACTTTTATATTTTTATGTTTATTTTTTTAAATAAAAAACTGAAATATTTTTTATTCAGAAAATACATTTGGATCTAAGTATCTTCTATAATTTTAACCCTAAAATACCAATTTAAATATTTTAAAAATGGTTGGGATGTTTATTTTTTTAAATAAGTAAGGTTACTGGAGTTCCACATGTTACTGGATCACCTGGGGTAATTTTCTGATTGGAAAATTAAGAATTATAGTGAGAGGGGAGGACAGGAGAATTTTTAAAGAACATATTCAATTTATTTTAGAAGCCGAACCTCTCTTATCATGTGACTTGTTTTGTATGTTTGTTAAACTATATTATCACATAAGCATTGCTGCTATTGGGACAAACAGTGACAGTTGATTCGGGTCATTTGAATGTCCACTGGCTGTTTTAATTTGTCTGTTCTTTTTGACTCTGTCATATGCTCAAACTTCAGTGGAAGTCATGAGAACCTATTATTTTTGCCTGTTCCCTCCTTTACGTTGGAAATATTCTTTTTTACTCAGAGGGACCTTAACTTTGATGTAAGGAAATGTTTCCTTTGCCAACTGTTTTCTTCCTTGCCAAGTAAGAGAGTTGTTGTGAACTCTTCAGTGATGCCTTGCGAGAGTCCATGGCCAGCTTGGCTTTGGCGGGTTCAAAGACTTGGAAGGAGGGCTGATGCGCAAATGATACACACAAGACGGAATATTAATTTTTTAATTATCGGGGGAACCAGAGAATAACTCAACTAAAGAAGTGGAGTTCTCCCTGTTGCTCCTTTCCCAGCCACTTTTATTAGCTAGAATACACAATTACCTTTAGGAATGCAAACAGACATATCAACGGTAATGTTTAGCAAACAGTAAGATTGCCAGGTCTTGGGGGAGTTTGCTTTAGACCATTGAGTCAGCAGCAGGTAATAAAATGTAGATATTCACCCTGTGAATATCAAAAGGAGTCCTGGTTATCCTTCTGCCAGACTCCTCATATTTACATCAATTACTGTTGATCTTGGTCTGCAGCAATGCCTTTCCCAGGATATTTGCAGATGTCCTTGGGAAAAGTAATTTCATCCCCCACCTTTGCATGTCAGGTGCTGGGGTACCAGGGTGCCGCCTCGCCTGCACCCCGGCTCTCCTATCCCCATGCGGCTCACTCTCCCTCTGATCTCCATGGCGACCACTGGGCCGCAGGCCGGGCGGAACCCCGGGGCGCCCGGGGGTGCTGCCTGGCCTGCGCCCCGGTTCTCTCTCCCTTCGATCACCATGGTGACCACTGGGCCGCAGGCCGGGTGGCACTCCCGGACCCCCAGGGGTGCTGCCCGGCCTGTGCCCGGGCTCTCCCTCTGATCGCAATGCGATCACGGGGCCAAAGGCAAGGCGGCGGCAATCCTGCAGCTCTTGCCTGCTGCCTGGGTTTCTGATCACTGTTCTTCCATCCTTCCCCTTTCACCTCCCATCATTGTGCCTGCATAATGTGATGGCAGTTAATTTGCATATCGCCCTAATTAGCCAATGGGGAGCTTAACAGAGGTACGGTTAATTACCCTTTTTGTCTTTTATTAGACAGGATATGTTTCGTAAGGCTATAACTGCTATAGGTAGGGATTCTTCTGATGGATCTGGACAAAGTAAATTGAAAACCTTCTGGAAGGATCCATCATTCTAGATGCCATTAAGAACATTCCTGATTCATGAGAAGAGGTAGAAATATCAGTATTACAGGAGTTTGCAAGAAGTTGATTCCAACCCTCACTGATAATTTCAGTGGAGGAAGTAATCACAAATGTGGTGGAAATAGCAAGAGAACTAGAATCAGAAGTGGAACCTGAAGATGTGACTGAATTGCTGCAATCTTATGATAAAACTTGAATGAACGTGGAGTTGCTTTTTATGGGTGAGCAAAGAAAGTGGTTTCTTGAGATGAAACTTACTCCTGATGAATATGCTGTCGATATTGTTGAAATGACAACAAAAGATAATTACAGAAAGTTAGTCTATAAAGCAGGGCCTGAGAGGATTAACTCCAATTTTGAAAGAAGGTCCGTGGGTAAAAATGCTATCAAACAGCCTCACAGATGACAGAGAAATTGTTTATGAAAGGAAGAGTTAATCAAAATGGGAAATATTGTTTTTTTATTTAAAGAAATTGCCACAGCCACCCCACCCTTCAGCAACCACCATTCTAATATTTTTAGAATTTTAGCCCATCAACATTAAGGCAAGACCCTTCACCAGCAAAAAAATTGCGATTCACTGAAGTCTTGAATGCTGGTTAACATTTTTTTAGCAATAAATTATTTTTAAATTAAAGTATGTATCCTTTTTAGACTACTTAATAGACAGTATAATGAAACATAACTTTTATATGTACTGGGAAAGCAAAAAATTTGTGTTAGTTTATTGCAATTCACGCTTTATTTTGGTGGTCTAGAATGGAACCTGTAATATTTCTGAAGTATGCCCGTAATGTACAATCAGCAAAGCACTTCCCAAAGTGCTAGCAATAGTTTCAAATTCAGCTAAAATTAAATGCAGATATCAGCAGAGTGGGTCAGGGAGTTGGTATAAAATAAAATATGAAGGCATTACAAGTTTCTTTTTAGTCTAAACAAAATTCTTTGAATAAAAAATATCCTACTTTTTACATTTTCAGAAGCAGTTCTCTTACCTGAAAGTTTTCTTTGATCTTTGCAGGGTCAAAGCTTTTAGGAATGACAACTATCCCTCGCTGGATGTTGAAACGCAAAGCAACCTGAGCTGCAGTCTTTTTGTACTTTTTCCCCAATGATTTTAGATGTTCATTCTCTAACAAAGGTTGGAAATCTGTACTCAACCTTAAAAAAATAAAAACATGCATGATATTTAGCTAGAATCAATGAGAAGCAGTGGTAATCAATCCTCCTTCTCTGTCTTCCCATTCACCTGGTAACCTACCAGGACATTTCAGGTCACCTGTAAGCAATTTCTGTGATTGCCGAGTCCTCAATGAAGAGTTGTTCTTAGTGTGGGAAGATCAAGAGAGGCAAATTTATATTGCTGCCTTTTTGAGAAAGTAAATATGTTTTGATTTGTCTTATAGAGAGGGCTGGGCTGAAAGAAGACATATGTGAGAAGGCAGGTAGCCTGAAGTGGAATAAGTAGAAATATAACTCTTGGAATCATATTAGCGTAGAAAAATTTCTACTTTGGTCTGTGGAACACATCATAGTAGAAGTGTTGCCATTGAATACAGAGAAAAACAATTCTAAAATTTCAGAATTTAGGCCATAGAAACTCTATCAAATAATAACTAAACTAGCATTTATGGATCACCTCTGTATTTTAGGCACTGTTAGGTAATTTTATACATGTAGTATAATCAATTCCTATAACATCTAAGTGAGGAAGTTTTATTAGCTCAGTTTGGATATATGGAGAATGAACTGAAGAGTTTAAGTAAGTTTCTTAAGATTACACAGCCCAATAGAATCATTTAAATAAATAAAATAATTCACATTAGCCTCATACTCTACATCAAAGGAAACACTTCCTGAAGAGACATATAGTATTACTTACCAGTTTGGATTCTTAGAGATCCCCAAAGGAGTAAATGCAACCATGAGAATGTCATGCTGTTGGCAAAATTCCAGGAGTTTTCTCTGGGTGAAATATGGATGGCACTCCACCTATGTGGTTGCATTGAAGAGCAGAGCACAAAAATAAGGCCTTGTAGGTGAATGCAATTTTATGTAGTTAAAAAAAAATCTTTAAATAAACTTCATTTTAAAATATTATGGATAGTGAGACAAATTCTAAGTATTTTTCCTAACAAGGAATCTTACATTGTTTATATACTGGCGAAATTAATTACAGCAAGGTTAGTAAGGGTACCATCTGTGAATTAATTATGAAATAATTCGGGGGGGGAGCAGAATTCAATTTTGTGTCTCTATCATAGTTTCAAACTTGAAATGAACAGAATCAGTTATTTATAATAAAGATCCTAGAAAATACAATTTCCATAACAGTCTCAATGTTCAGATTAGTCTTGGTAAGTAGAAGCGACATGTTACAGAAGCCCTCTGCTCTAGCTATCAAACATCTAAGAATATTTTCACAAGAGGAAGAACATGTATGAAAACTAAATTTAAAGATAAATTCTATTTTCTTGGATGAGAGTTCTATTTATTTTTTTACATTCAACATTGAAAACAGTAAGTATTATACAGAGAGGACAGAGGCAAAATCGTTGGGATTATCACTGTGGATGCTGCAAACTGTTGAAGGTGGGGCTTCAGAAGGGCTGCAGTATTGGTAAGCCATCTCTACAGTATTGCTGTGCTCTGCTTTCAGACACCACGCAACACATGAATATTTTCAGGCTGTGATCTTCCAACAGGTCTTGCCTCCCTCGTCGGATATGTTTGTGAAGCTGATCAACATTCTTGTGCCAACAGATTAGGGTATTTACTCATTAGCATGAGGCGACACACTCAAATTTTTGCTCTCTTTTTCATTCTGAGATAAAAAGTTACCATCTTTCTCTGTATACTAGTAGCCTGGTGCACGAAATTCGTGCACATTAAAAGGGAATTAATTGCCTTAACTGGTTTGGCTCAGGGGATAGAGCTTCAGACTGCGGACTCAAGGGTCCCAGGTTCGATTCTGGTCAAGGGCATGTACCTTGGTTGCGGGACATCCCCAGTGGTGAGTGTGCAGGAGGCAGCTGATCAATGTTTCTCTCTCATCGATGTTTCTAACTCCCTGTCCCTCTCCCTTCCTCTCTGTAAAAAATCAATAAAATATATATTTTTAAAAAAGGGAATTAATTAGCAGAGATATTTTACTATTGCTATTTGCCCTTTCTCTATAATAGAAATGTGAGAGATGAAAGGAAATTAGTAAAATGTATATGAAAATAATATATAAATTTAGTAATAAATAAACAGTAACAAAAGGATATAACAACAACAGAGACATGATATAAAAATGACAACAACATGATATGAAAACAACAAAAACATGATATGAAAACAACAGTGATGTAAACAATGACTGATAAAGTGATTAAACTTATTCTAATATCTCCCTGTACACCACATTAATAGTGAAAACACTTTCAGAGTGCTTGACTAATTTCCCTTGTGATGAAGTACTTAGAACTTTAACTGTAACATCACATGCTCTTCAAACTCGAGAGAAAGCAACATATAACTGACCATGTAGTTACTGACCATGTGCAAAAATGGCTTCAGGTAGTTATATGCCTACGTTGTCTGGAGTTTGTCCTTGTGATTTATTAATAGTCATCACAAATGTTGGCATCACAGGAAACCATCGTTGAATCAATTTAAATCGTAGGCCAGTGTCAGATGGGGACAAATTAATTCTTGGAATCAGAACAGCCTCTCCCTCTGCAGATCCTATTAATACTTCAGTTTCTATAATGTTAGGTTGTAATCTTTTGATAATCGGGTACCATCACAAAGATCCCATTTACTATTGAGATTTCCCAATAGCATGATGATTGCACCAACTTTCAATTCTTGGCTGCACATTACAATCACCTGGGAATCTTTTTAAAATCCTGATTCCTGGGCCTCATCCTCCGGAAATTGTTTCTTTGTTATGGGGTGGGGCCACAACATCAGTAACAAAGAAACCGAATTAAAACTTTATTGTGGGGAGATGCTACAGTGTTTTGGACAGGTTCAAGCCTTGGACTGAGTAGAGGGCACAGTCCTCTCATTGCCACATGCAAGTCCTCCCAGCACAATTATAGCCAACAGCTGTAGTTGTAAGCTTGAACCTATGGTCCCAACACGTGGCCCCACGTGCCTGAGTGATGTAGGCTTGATAGAGTTCAGGTGCATGTAGTTGAGTAGGATTGAAACCCAGGAGAATGTTGTAAACATCGTGGTCACGCCCTTACTTTGCCTCATAGCTTCTGTTATAAAATAAAGGCATGGCTGTGGACGTTATCGCTGTCTCTCAGAGAAGCAGTGTCCCACCGAGTCCCGGCTTTCATTCTCTTCTCTGTCTTTTCTAAGCCTTTCAGCTGCCCCCACTCAGGTTCACCCCTGGTCGTGCTGGGCGGCACACTCTCAGGGAACCACGCTCCCAGGGCGGGTTCCTGCCACAAACCCCGACCTTGCCCGAAACAGCTCCTGGGAAACAGCTCAGGGAGGGTGCAGCCATTGCCAGGACAACCCCTGCAGGACTGACTTCCTTCCGGTTGGTCGCCAGCCAGACCCTGGTCGTGATGAACACCACCCATGGTTTTT